GGAAACCCTGTACAGGGTCGCTATGAGTGGGAACCCACTCCACGGTATATCACCACCACCATATATAAACCATAAAAGCTTATTAGAGGTTGTTTTAACATCATACATAGTTCTACCCTCTTGTTTTACACAAGCCAATTTTGACCTGATTTTATGAGCATAATTTTGTGGTTTTGGTGGCTCATCATTTTGCATTGATAGACAAGGTCATTTTTATATTTATTAAGTTACTAAAAGTTCATGAAGGGCCACCTTCATGACTGACTATTGGTAGAAGATTAAATAGTCTCTGAGTCAAACTACTAATTTTAGAACAAACTAGGATTTGCTGCCTTTCTAGACATGAGACTGTTAAACTAATTAAGAAAATATATTTCAGAAAGTGAAAACAATTTAATAATTTAAAGTTTTCTGTTTATTTGGCTGAGCGACTTGTTAAAATCTGCCATTCTTTAGAAGAGAAAATTGAACCTGGGCAGCTATATAGCCAACCTGCCATCTGGCAGAAACTGTTTTTTAGTACCAAAGTCATTAAGTAATGGTGCCTTTTTTTAGCTGGTCTGCAATAGACGATAACTTTATTTTTTTCTTAGTCTTCTACTTTCAACCCCCTTGTTTTACCTATTAATATTTTTGCCTTTCAATAAGTATAAAAATACCCCCAAATATTGAAATTCTTGCAACTAAGGACACTTCCTACAGTTGCTGACTTAATCACAAGAAAGAATTATATACTACTTTGAGAAGAGAATGTGTAAAAAAAAAAGAAAAAAACAGTTCTGGTATGGGATGAAACTGAAAACCTCAGTCATGTTCGTAAACAAAATTGAGTGAAAAGAATTCTAGACCAACTTAAAAACTACTTGGTTGCTATAAAATGACACTTAAGGTAATGATTATTGTTTTGTATTTAAAACGTATTAAGTGTGTATGATACTGCCTTTGTATGTTTGTCTCGACCCATGTACTTTTAAATAGCTGATCATCTGTACACAAATAGCCTTTTTTCCTTGGTGTAAAAAAAAAAAAGAAAGGCTATCTATGTTGTTGCCCAAATATTCCAAAATATTATAGCTAAAGGCAAAGAGCAAAGTGAAGGGAGCTGAAAACCCCAGCAGGTCTGGGTTTGCTCACCGCCTCTACACCAGGACTGAGGAACCATGTTGAGGCCCAGAGTGCAACACCCTGAGGCAGTCAGCTGCCTGTCCCTGGGTTCACCTAACCCTCTGTCCTTCTTTATGTTCACATTTTAGTTGTTGATCGCTGAAACTAGCTACCAAAATATTTTACCACTGTGATAGGCTGAGAAATGGTCTCCAAAGCCGTCTATACCCTAGTCCCTGGAACCTGTGAACACGTCACTGTCCACATTGCAAAAGGGATGTTGCAGATGTCATCGCAGCTAAGAACCCTGAGATGAAGACTCTCCTGGGTGACCCAAGTGGGCCCAAAGTAATCCCACAAGCCCTGACTATCAAAAAGCCTTTCCCTGCTCAAGAATCAGAGACAGCATGGCCCACCATGGAAGAGGGCCATGAGCCAAGGGACAAAGGTGGCCTCTTCTAGACGCTGGAAAGGGCAGGGAACAAGATTCTCCTGTAAAGTTTGCAGAAACGAACGCATCTCTGGCAGCATCTCGACTGTAGCCTGGGAAGTCCAATGTCTACAACTATAAGATCATAAGTCCTTCAAGATACACGCTGGGGGCGATCTGTTACCACCGCCTTAGAATGCTAATGGGCACCTCTTATAGGATTAAGTCAGTGGCTACAGCTTAATGTCTTTTGCTAAATATTTTCTTGGCATCTTAGATGTTGCTTCTGCCTGTCAATCAGTGAACACTGGAGAGCAATGACAAGCTTTCCTGATGCTCTGTCCCTCAAACAAATTTGAGACCCACTGACCCCGCTACCACAAAGCATCCGTGAGCAGCCGCTGGACAATCCCCTAGCTGTTATGGTTGGGTGTTCACTCCTACCACCCAGAGGTTGAAAAAATGAGTGACTACTCTGTGTGAACCACAAGGTCAGTGGTTCAAGCCCACCAGCTATTCTCAAGGAGAAAGCTGAGGCTTTCTGCTCGGGCAAAACTGTACAGCCTCAGAAACCCTCTGGAGGGTCATTATGAGTCGGCACTGAGCCGACAGCACTTGATAGCCCTCTGCTGTGGGCTGGGCTCGGGTGTCAGGTTGCTGTGGAGACAGACATCCGAACACTGTTTGTCTGTGAACCACTCCAGCCTCGCAGAGCATAATTCTGTTTTGTGTCTAGGTTTAAGTGTTCAGATGTCAATTTTTCTCGAGTCCTTCATGCACCTCTGACAGTTGAACCGAGTTAGAAACAGGATATATAAAAGTGCACCTCTGACAGCTGAACAGCGTTAGAAACAGAGGATATATAAAAGTGGGCCTGGGGGCCACTTCCCTTGCAGGAACATTCCTGGACCCATCCTTCAATAGTACCTAGCTGTGATGCCATGGCCTGAGAGCCTCAGGGACCGTAAGCTTTCCTCTCTGCAACAGCCCCCGCATGCTTTCGAGCTTTCGTAGCCCGGGCATGCGCTGGGGCTGGGGCTGCTGCCTCAGTCATGACTGCAGGACAGGCTTTGTTCTCTGTGCCCTGTAAAAGGTGGCCACGTGGAGACAGAACTTTACAAATTCATCATGATGCCTAGGATTGCTCTCACCCTGGTGATTCACGTTTATCTTTGTCTTGTGTTTAAACTGTTGTTTAAAACTTGATAAAGAGTCTGTACAATATTTATAACTTGAGGACGGGCCTCTTCTCCCCACTGTATCAGGTATACATGTCCCCAGCATCAGGGAACCTCAGGGTGAGAAAGGCTATGGTGTCAGAAGTTCAGGGGGGCAGAGGAACTCAGGGAGGGGCACGCTGAAGCCAGACTTACCTCCTGCAGGAGGACTGTGTGCAAAATGACACAATGAAATGAGCCAGGCCCAAGGGGTGAGCTGGCAGGCTGCACTCAAACACCTTCTTCCCAGGAACCGGCTAGCTGGGTTCTCCCTTCCTCAACCAGGTCCCTGGGACAAGAGCCCCCATGCACACTCACCTGTTTCTACATCGTTGGCGTTGGCCGAGTCCCTTAGCCTCTTCAGGGCTGTAAAGAGAGAGACAGAGAAGAGAGAATGCCAGGTAAACAAAAAGAAACACTGGCCAGCATGCCACAGAAAGTGCTGCAAACACCCAAAGACGACAATGGCCTTCAGCCACAAACACACCACAGACAAGGAAACAAGAAGTAGTAGGCTGGAAGCAGCGCCAAGTCGGAAGAATGCTCCAAGGTCGCTGCCGTCCCATCTGGGCTGGCCCACTGGAAGTAGCTGAGTGACTGTGAGAAAGGTTGTGGTGGTGCTGGCGGGGGCCGGGGGAGACTCAGGCCTGCCAGCCCCGCGTTATTGTAAGGAACAGGGAAATGACTTCCATGAAAGCTCTTTATGAGCTGTTCACACGAATAATCTTTTTCTTATTGTTGTTGTCAGGTGCCATCGAGTCAGAACCGACTCATAGCGACCCCATGCACAGCGGAAGGAAACAATGTCCGATCCTGGGCCAACCTCACTACCACCGCCACACTTGACGTCATCAATGATGCCACCTGGATGATCCATCTCGTTGGGGGTCTTCCTCTTTTTCTCTGACCCTCCACCTTACCCAGCATGATATCCTTCTCCAATGACTGTTCCCTCCGGACAATATGTCCAAAGTATGAGAGACGAAGCTTAGCCATCTTCTTATAGTCTCCCTCAAAATAGGTCATTCCCTATGGATGGCACTGGGAGGCATCATGTGGAGAAAATCAGCCAATCACAAAGAGAACAACCATTGTATGACCTCACTTATATAAAAAGCCAAGAAAAGGCAAACATTTAGAAAACGCTTCTTAGTGGTTACCGGGGTGGGAAGGAGGGGAAAGGAGGGCTGCATGCCGAGTGATGGAAAAACAGCATGATGAAGCAGGGCTGCGCAGCCAATTATTGTAATTGCCGCAAAAATCTGTCTACCTGTTGAAAGCGGAATTGGCAAAATTTGTGAATTGGCAAATATGTAGAAAGTCTGTAGAAAAACTAAAACACAATGGGATTTTCCCATAAACTTTCTGAAGTCCCCCACCCTTGTATTTACAACAGTGACAACAAACACGTAATGATTGCTGAGGCTGCTGACGTCAAACCAAACACCTCATGAGATTCGGTTCTTTGGGTCATGGCTTCAGGGGACATTCCAGATAATTGTATATGTTTAGTGATTCTCTTCTACCTCCTAGCCCTGGTGTGCTCCTAGCCCTATGGGATCAGCACTGAACTGCAGACCACAAGGCTGACAGTTCAAACCCACCAGGTGGCTAGGAGTCAGAACTCACTTGGTAACCCTACACAGGGTCGCTAGGAGTCAGAACTGACTCGGCGGCACTTCACAGCAACAACAGTCCTGGTTTGGTGCTATAGGATAAGCACTGGACAGCAAAGTCAGTTTGAACTGCAAGGTCGGTTGTTCAAACCCACCAACCACTCCTTGGAAACACGATACAGGGTCTCTAAGAGTCAGAACCGACTCAACGGTGCTTAACAACAATAACAACAAGTTTGTTGTGTAGTGCTAGGGGTCTTCAAAGCTTGCAAGTGGCCATCAAAGGTAAACAACAATTATTCTTTTTTCATCTGGAACAACAGGGAAAAAAGGAGAATCAGGACTAGGAGGAGAAAATGGAACGTGCGGCCAACTGCCTCCATGAACAGCTGCCTCCGTCCCCATGACATCAGAGTTGGATGGTGCCCAGCTACCATTGCTGAATATTGTCATCAAAGTTTCCATAGGAGAATCCTAAGCAGAAGAGGGGGAAATGTAGAACAGAA